CCCCAAAACCCCAAAACCCCAAAACCCCATGATGAGAATTTTTGATAAGTATTAAATAGAACTCATTTGAAATTTAGAATATAAATAAAGCAAATTTAATATTAATTAGGTTATAAATCATATGATGAATTTTTCACAGCTAAGCAGTCAAGGGACCTTAGTAACCTAATCAAATTGCAATAACAATTACAACATTCACACGTATAATTAAATTTCAGCTCCTACTAGATAAGGGAATCAAAATCATCAATCAGGAAAAACTTGTAATGAGTGTTAATAAGTATAAGTAGAAGATGGGATAACAAATGATATATATCAGATGCAAATGTAAGTTAGTGAGGAAAAGCCTTCAAGCAATCTTATCATCAAAATGCCACCAATATAGTATTCACCATTCATCGAGACGAGTCAGCAATTATCATTTCCTGATCAATTTAATCAAGTTGAGATGGCATATGGAGATAGGGACAGATTTACTGATTAATTAAATGGAGTTCCTGATAATAAGGATTTCAAACTAAATAATAACAAATCTTTACCGACACAGAATCAAGAATCAAGCTGCCCACCACAATCCTTTAATATGGAAGGAAGTTTGTTTTTCAGACTTAAGCACCCCTCACTTTAAAACCACTCTCTAATCACTGGTCCTGCCTTAAACGACAATCTTAAGCGAACCTTGACCTCGTTGATTACTTAATAAAGAATTCCAACCATATAGGAGTGGTTTTCTTTCTTGAGTCCAGAGGACAAGCACTTAAGTTTAAGTCTTGTCAATCAAAGAATCGTAGATCATTTAATTAAAATGATACTCAAAATTAGAAATAAAGGTCAAGGATTATTCAAATTAGAGTAGATAAAAAGTAAGGGTTGCGGAAAGGAAAATATGAATAGTAGTATTGATTATAAATTCAAATATAAATCAGTAAAATCTCTAATTGAATCTAAACAAGAATAGTATTTAATTAGTAATACTAACCATACAATTCTAGAAAAAGTAAGCTCTTTCTTTTTTATATTTAATTTGTAGGAATTCCTAGATTTCGTAAGATTTACTTGGAGTACTCAATAGCTGGAGTAGAACAAATTCTCTAATTCCACCCGGGTTAATACTCTAACTATCAAACCTTCAATATTTTAAGATAAATTGGATGTATTTAGCTATTTTTCTTCTATTGCCGGCCATAATATACTAAAGTTACCTTATTAGTAATTTTAACTATATTTAAATTATCATAGGTTTTAAAATAGTATATACGGATCTATCAATTTTTCAAGTATACCTATTTGGTTTGATCCTATTAAACATTAATCACTAAGTAAGTGGATTATTTACTTCTATGAGGCAACTCTTTGGTATAACTTCAATCTTTTCCTCAGAGATTTTGAGCAAGATAAAAGCTAAAAGCTAGTAACCTTATTGCTCAAAGAGAATCAGTTGATTGACCAATCTAACAAACTCTATGAAATTATTTTTCAGTTGAAAGCTAATTACTACTAGGACCCAAATATGTCAAGAGAATAAATATTCTTAGTTCTCAAAAGCTCCCATTGTCTCAGTGCCACTATACTACTTGCTCTGTTTGAAAATTAGGATGCCAGCTACTTCACTTCAGAGCTCTGCTTAACATCAATAAACAAAGTAGATTCAGATTTATTTGATGTTGAAAGGGACTTCATAAATTTAGTAGTGGAGTAATTCAAAGGGTCGTTAATACTAAACTAGAGGACTCTGAAAAATCAAAAGAAGAAAAATAAACGCAAACAGAAGAAACTTGATGCTAAAAATTAATAACAACAATAGAAGCAATAATAAGATGGGTAATAAGCAAGTTGCATAAGAAAATAATCACAGAGTCACATACCAGTTACTGAAAGAATAAAAAAAGCCCAGATCAATGAGCTCAACAAAGATGAGATTAACAATCTTTTAGAAGATATTATCAATGAAATAGAGGAAAATAAGGACGAAACAAAATTGAAAGATAATAAAGAAGACAAAGACCACTCTTAATGTTATGACGTTTTTAGTGAAGATAATTTCAATCTTTTCTAACTCCTAGAGATGAATACTGACTTGCATGAAGTTGAGTAAACCTAAGGAAGAGAGAGAATTGATAGACTAGAAAAGATAAGTGCATTTAGTGACTCTACAGAAGACATCTTAGGCAACTTCTCCTCTGAAACCTTTAAAAACTAACTAAAGTCACCCTAAGCTTCAACTAATACAGAGATTGAGTTGACAATGAGAAAGAATCTTTTTTCATCAGATGCAGGTGATAGTAGTATATAACTTTAAAAGTAGTTTTCTGACTTCTACATGAAAGACAGTAGTCATTAGAATATTGACAATATTAATCAGACTAAGACTAAAGAATCTCTTGATAATATAGCCATTGATGTCTCTATTTCAAATGAGAATATAACTAAACAAGATGAAAGTATGAGGAATCCTAGTTCTAAAAGGATCCAGCTATAACTCCCAGCATCTCCTTCTAGATAAGATGTACTTTAGGAGGAAAAAACATTTTAGATTATCAGATCTTCTCAAAACTTCCAATAAGAATAGCAGACAATTAGATAAAATCAAAGAAATAAAAAGAAGAAGAAAAGAAAGGCTCAAGGAGCAGGCAGCCAAAATTATAACTTAAGTCAGCAACAAAAGCAAATGAATTCATTTATAAGGGGAATTCACAACCATTATGAACAAGATGATTATGACGATTATGGCCAAGAAGAGGCTGATTATCAGGACCAATTTTCACTTTAAAAGGGCTAATTAGAAGAATAGAAGCAAAGACCAATATATGTCAAAAAAGGAAATAATGGTAATTAAGGTAGCCCGACTGATGAAACTATAGAGTTGACAAAATCCCAGAGTACAAGTCTTAAGTATCAGGAGTTAATAAACTAATAGAATTTTTTCACTCCTATTGATAATTAAAAGAAAAAGAAATCGTTTACAAAAGCTAAAAAGACCACTAACAGTGGCTGGGAAAAGAATAACAAAAAAAAGTCAGGTAAAAGCAAAAATACTAGTCAGCAGTAAAATCATCAGCATTCGAAGTAATCAAGCTATGACTAATAAGCTTATAATTAAAACATGGGCTAACTTCAATCTAGATCACTTAGTATGTATGATAGTCCATATCACCCGATTGATCCTATCGGATTCATCAACGGACAAATAGACATAGATGACATCAAACAGCTCCTGTAAAAGAATATTATCCAGGATATTATTGCTTAGCAGTAATAGCAAAATTAATTATCAATGTAAAGAGCTTATAGCGAGTAGTATGTTTACAATTAGAGACAGGATTAGAATGAAGCAGATGATGAATATGATGAGGAGGATAAAGAGCAGAGAACGATTGAGTAATTCTTTGACATGCTTGAAAGTTAAATGATTATGTTCCAGAAGAGTGTTGAGAAAAAACTTGAGTCAGTGAGAAAGGAAAGAGAAGAGGCTATAAAGATTATAAGAAGAATAGTCGAAGGATTATATTAGCAAGAGAGAAATAGTGTTACTATCAAGTAATACGGATCAATGGCTAGCAATCTCGCAATTGATAGTAGTGATGTTGATCTTGCTGTGGTCGGATTGGAATTTTGTGGTAACAAAGATACTTAGATATACCATATGAGAAGGTTAATAGAACAAATACAACTGCACATGAAAAAATACACAAAAATCTAATTCATAGATTAAGCAACAGTTCCAGTAATCAAACTAGAAATTGATTTAGCCTATATTGCTAAAAACTTAGAAAGAAATCAGAAAAACGATTTTGCAGTAGGCGGAGCTTAACGCAATATAATTGATGAATCAATGAGAAAATTAGGCGTAGATATAACTTTTGATGACACAAAGCCAAAGCAGCACTTTTATGGCTAATTCGTAGAAAACAACTCCAGAATTAATTTGGGCGTAAGGTGTATTAATTTCATCAAAGAGAGCTGCAAGAATTAGTCAGGGCTCCAAACAATAGTGCTTGTGCTTAAAAAACTCCTTCAGATAAACAATCTCAACCAAACCTTCACCGGAGGCCTAAACTCATATTCAATTGTACTGATGACTTCAGCTTACCTGCAGCAATTCGAAGGAGTGAGTCAAATGTCAATGAATCTGATGGAGTTCTTTAACTTTTATGGCTCTTTTTACGACCCCAAGAACACAATAATATCTAGCCATGTAGCTCCTCACTTTATTAAATCTCAACACATATTAAACGAACATATGATCATAATAGATCCCTTGGATTCAGGTAACAACCCTTCAAAAGGAGCATACTAAATAAGTAAGATATAAGAGATATTCAAAGTTGCTCACAGCATTCTCTCAGAGTGTTTAAATTTATTTAAACATGATCAGAGAGAGATTGACATAATGCAGCTACTAATGAGAAGGACAGAAAGTCTTAATACATTCGGAATCATTTGATAACCCACACTTATCAAGTTATTCCAATTTTTATTTAACATTCATACTTGTAATGATGAGTATTTAATTTATTAATGTTCTAATATATAAATATCACTGATTGATTTTATTGCCGAAGGGTTGTCTCTCGTGAAATGTATTCTGAGACGGTAGAGACGCCTGACTTCTCGACAATGTTGAGCCATTGATCGTCCTCTACTAGCTGCTCTCTTTTAATATCTTTTCAGTTTTCTTGGCTAGTTAAGGCTTAAAAGTGCAGTTTTTATCTATAGAGTATTCTTATCTTTATTTCTCTTTTCTTTATTCAATTGCATGCTGCTGTGAATACAGCTTTTCCCCTACGTTTTCATTAGTTACTTCTACTCTTTCATAGCACTTAGCTAACTTACTCTTGGTAGTGACCCTCTATGGCTTGAAATCGCAGGAATTCTGCTGTTACATCTCCTTAATATGACTGTCTTTCCTCTGCATGAACTCTCTGTTTCTATCGAACACATTGTTATCAAATTGGTATTTAGGCATATTGTTAGTTTATGGCGCAAAGGAATAGCCTTACTCCTTATACACCTTATCTCTGAGTTCGTCTTACTTTTTTGTTTTTTCCTTTCCTTATGTGTAAAGTCTATCATGGGTATTTTATGTCATGTATGAAGTTTATGAATTATGAGTATTTATTATTGAGCTATCATGATTTGGTGAACCAGAGTTTATTGAGTCACCAATACTTAGCTTTTTGCCTCTTTTATTTGTTTATAATGTGAGCTAACAAAGTTTCTATTCCTCTTTAATAAGCTCATTCCTTTTATCCTGTATCTTTTTCTCTCTTGCTTTCCACTCTTGGTAGAGCCTAGATGATCTGTGCTACGATGTTTCATTCCTATTTCCAAATAGCCTTTCATCTTTATCTTTGGTGATTCTAGTGGGTTGAAATGGATGCTCTTCTTTGAACTTTTAATCATACTCGTTTTCTATTTTGACTAATTATCTTTGCTTATGTTCATGTTCCTGATGAAGCCTGCTGAAAGTATCCTCATTATTATGATGATATTCAGTTTGAGATTTCCTGCCTGAATGAATCAAACTATCATTTCTTCCTCTATTAATTTCTGGCTAAAATGTGCACTAATTAACTTCAGCATGATCCTTTATAGTCTACAAGCCCTTCATAAATTTATCCTTGGCCTCTGCATCTTTATAAAGTCTTTCGAAGAACTGCTCCTTATCCTAGTAATCTTGCAAATTTCTCTCAGCTATGACTTTTGACTTATTATTGGTTTCTGGCTTAAAGGTACAGTCCTTCATTTCTTCATTTTCCTTCTAAAGCTGCATCAACTCAGGATTGAATTTCTTATTTGATTTTGAGAGTCTCTCAAATAGGAAAGGATCTTCTCTTTATATTTAAGGTCTCCTAGCAGATGATGCCACTGGAGTGTTACCTTAAGAAGGCATAGTGCCTGATAATAGAGGCTAAAATGTACAATCTCTGAGTTCATCATGCTACCTAATCACATCATTGACAATCATTTTTTATTACTTTTGCTGTGCTTCCTTGTGCAGTCTTTAATACACTGGAAGCTCTTAATTATTATTTTGTACAATACCACTCATTCCCAAAGGTGTAGCTCTTCTAGAACTACTTCTACCCCTACTATTTTCACTAGAATTACGATTTGGATGTGCTGATCTTAATGGTTGTATTTGATTCAATGATAATTAATTTCTCTTTTTAGTTTAAAGCTCTAATATCTATTTTTCGTGTAGCAATGTTTCATTTTCTCTAGTCAACCTAAATATGTATTCTCTCATTTTCTCATTATCTTCAAGTAAATTGGAAAATTCATTAACTTACTTCCACTTCATGAATGCGTTCTACCTTTCATTCAGCAGTATTTTCTCTCTCAGTTTTACTACTTTGGTCAAAGAATCAAAATGCTTTTTGCCTTCCTAAATTTACCACTGATTGTAGATTTTTTAAGCAATGTCATAGTACTCATTAGCTGTTAGAGATTTCAAGAAATCTGCCAAAGTAAAAATAGCTCTCGTTTCAAACATTATTTGTGAGTCCTCCTCATCCTGCATTGACTGTGTTACATTACAGTTCTCATTATCTTAGTCAAGTTAATCATTGAATTAATCGAATAGGTGCAAAAACTTGGTGAGAGTGTCAGAATCCTGATTATTATCAATTATATGAGACTTTATCAAAAAGTTAACATAACTCTCAAGAGTTTATTGATCTGTCATTTTTAATTCGTTTGAATTTAAACTATCAAATTATTTCTATCTATATAAAACTTTGATTTAGTGTGTAATGGGGTTTTGGGGTTTTGGGGTTTTGGGG